AGGGCAGACTATCCTGCAAAGGAAAGATACTCTAACAGCTCTGCTCAAACCAACAGCTGGTGCTACCGAGGAGCTTCCACAGGCTCCAAGGAAAGCAGGAGGAGGGTGTATCTGTCGTGTTATATCTGCAGTTCTGCATTGCTGACTACGTGTCAGTCTCACGACAGCTACCTGACCCGCCGGGGTGGGGCGATGCTACTATTCCACCCAGCATCCCTCCTTCCCTCTCCTGCTCCTACTCTCGCAGATTCATTCCTCATCTCATCTTCATCCGGAGAAGATGGTCAGGGCACTGCGCACAGCATCTTCCAAGTTTGCTCTTTAACTGCTTCGGCGAGCAAGGGGTTACAAATGCCACAATCGTTAGCCCTTGTGGTATTAATTGTTTTGGGGCCGTTTCGATTGTTTCTCCCATAAGGAGAACGATTCTAGCTGAGCTCATAGAATCATAGAATGGCACAGGCTGGAAGGGACCTTAGAGATCATCTAACTCCTTCAGAAGGCAATTTTTTTAAAGCCTGGCTGATGTTCTGGCCCCAAAATGAAGAGTGGCTCTGTGCCAGCGTATCGGTTTGCCCAAGCATAAACACTACACTTTTATAAATATTACATCAATCACTAGACATGTCAATCAACACTTGGACTACACTTAGATCCTACACACAAAAGCAACGCTTCCCAAAGCCAGAAAGAAGCATCTGCTGACTTCACGGCCACTTTCAGGGTGACTAGCTGGCACGGCCTGCATCTACCTTATTGCCTTGTAATAGACATCTTAAACCCAACAAAATGTCATCAACTCCAAATACAACAGACCCCTGGGTGTCCAGTGACATTTGCTTTATACGGTCAGCATCAATCTTTGATTATAAAGACGTTGCCAGATCAGACAGGTGGTTTAAAGGTACACTGCAATAAGATCAAATTATAATTCATGCACTAAAAATAGTTATTTGAAATCCTGTGGATTGTAATAATCTGAGTAGGTTTTGCATTTCACTGAGAAGGTCTATATTTAAAGAGTCTCGCTTTGTGGTTTTCATGCAAGAGCTATTTACTTGTATTTCCAATACGCAGCTAAAGAATGTTTAAATAAAATACATAAAACAGGCCCTTTCTATGTCAGTAAGAAAATCATAAGAACATTTTATGCATACAAGATTTAGTAACCCAAACCTGTATTTAAACGCAGGCAGCACCCCTTTAATACAACAACACAAATACTGTGATGCTGATTTTATAATAATCTACTAGACTTCAGTCTTTCATTCACTGCTGACAACTGTAAGAAATGTCACAAACATAAATAATAAAAGTCACTACCACAAGACAAAAGCAGTCGGAGATTGAAATTCTCTCAGCGATCCATTCCTG